CTTCCATATAACCTCTTTGAAAAGGAGGAATCCGGAAGTAGCTTCGGCGGTTACAAAGCTTTGATGATTTTCTCGCTATACAAAAATTAAAAATTACTTCTGTGCGAGTTCGAAATGTTTCGTTGGAAAGTATATTCATCAAGCTTGGGACTATTCCGGCATCAAAAATAGCTTGTATTTGTTTACTATTGCCAGCAGCTATATTTGACAAAGCCCAGGCCACTTCACGTTTTGTTTTCGGATCACCATCCAATAAAATACGATGTAGGTTCGGTAGTGCATCTGGGCGATCCAGAACACCTAAAGTTACCAATATTTAGTATCAATACGCAATTGTTATTCCCGTTCCCCTACACAAACCAAGCAGTCGTCCGCATGAAATGAAAAAAGATATGATACAATTCATCAACCTAGTCAACTACTTTTTCTGGAAGGGCGCAAAATCCCAAACGACTTCGCCTTTTTGGGAAAAGTTGGCATAAGCTTATACTGGGTGAACAAGAAAAAATATGGAGTTGATTCTTCCTCCTCAAGATTACCGCCCAAACCGTAGTCTCGGCTTATGAAAATATAAAAATACTCTGAATTTGTATATGAAGACAGGTGATGAAAAAGTGGTTTTTTTGACCTGATTTTCTGTTAAACACTCTGCTAACTGTACTTCCGATAACTTGGATTTCTAACTTCTTGTCTTCTGTACTTTTACAAATATTCTATATTTGGGTCCGTAGTTAGAAACTAAGCAAGCTTCGACGCAATTCAAGGGCTAACTTCTAAATAACTCAAATCCAGGGAGACTCTCAAAATTCTGCTCATTTTCGGCTTAAAATTATTCCAAATCAGAGTCAAAGGAAGGAAGAAGGGATAAGGAGAGAAAGATATCAGATCATGACATAGAGAAAGATAAGAACTAGAATAGAATCCGCGGGCTCATTTGAGGTTAGGGAACTGTGCGCTAAGAATTCGACTTCCAAGCTTTTGCAATTTTGTGGCTGAACTCTGTGGTCACACAAGCAGACACATGCAAAAAAATAAACAGAAGTGGTCTCGCCGCGACGGCTTTTGCTGACAGATGCAGCAAAAAACGTGCGATGCAAAAAAAAAAAAAAAAAATGAAAAAAAAA